AGGTGCTGGGGAAAGTAGGAAATAAGACAGGCACAGAGCCTACCATCAAGAGGCTTAAAGTTGAGTGGGGAAGACTGACATTGTACATATAATTAATAGTATACTGAATTTTACAAAAGGAGCAAGTATGGTGCATCTTATGAGCATGAATCAGCAGAAGGTAGCCTCATCTGGCAGCAGGGAAGCTGTTCCTGAGGAAATAAAGATGAGTCCAGCTGATCTCAGCAGACATTGGGTGAGCTGCAGCAGAAGCTGTAAACTCTTAGAAGTGGGAGCGCAGGGGTGAACTACCATGTCTGTGGTTGGGTGTGGGGGAGTGTGGCTCAGGATGAGACCGAGAAATGGGAAGGACCCGAACTATGGAAAGCATTTCGATCCTTAAAAGGATTTTGGTTTTTTATCGTAAGAGCCAAGGGAAGTCTCCAAAGGATTTTTTTTTTTTTTTTTTTTTTTTTTTTTTTGCGGTACGTGGGCCTCTCACTGTTGTGGCCTCTCCCGTTGCGGAGCACAGGCTCCGGAGGCGCAGGCTCAGCGGCCATGGCTCACGGGCCCAGCTCCTCTGCAGCACGTGGGATCTTCCCGGACTGGGGCACGAACCCGTGTCCCCTGCATCGGCAGGCGGACTCTCAACCACTGCGCCACCAGGGAAGCCCCTCCAAAGGATTTTAAACAGAAGAGGGATAAAATCTTATTCATAAATTAAAAAGAACACTCTGGCTGCCATGTGGGAAATGGATCCGAGTGAGTGGAAAAAGAAGAAAGCCAGAGTAGAAGTAGGAAAATCAGTTAGGAGGCTGGAGCAGAGTCCAGGTGGAAAGTGATGGCGGCCTGACTAGCGTGGCAGCAGATGGGATGGAGGGAAGGCTTTTGATTTCTCCGATTTCCCACATCTCAATAGGGATCATGGATGCTGTATGAAGCTTCAATTCCTAAGAACATAGCCACTCTGTTTAGACACAAGACAGTGCTCGTTAGAGAAACCAAGCTCTCAGTCCAGCTGGGAAACACATAAGGATTTCCTAAGAAAGAAGTTTACTGATATTTACTAAAAGTAGCTGACAATGGACCAGGATCTCACTTCTAGTTAATGCATTAGGTTTACTGGCAATTTCTCATTTGTTCCTTTCTATTTTTACAAAAGGAGATGATCCCATTACTAAGTATTCCACAGTTTAATTTGATTTGAGTAACCACTTGCCCTCAGAAGTGTTATGGACGTGGCCATTTTGGCTCGCAGGCAATACAGAGTTATAGCGGAATCTTCTTCCCCAACCCAGCATTCTTTGCTTTGACTGCAGTTTTTATGGCGTATGATACTTCCCCATTAACTTTTATTAGATCCATCATTTTTTTTAATTAACATTGAGTAATAACTGTTTTCAACGGCATCATTCTTCTGAGGAGTCCTCGACTTGTAGTCCATGATAACAGTTGCTAAATTGAAGTTTCTTCTGCCAGCACGTCACCTGCAGTAAATCCAACCATTCAACCTCATCTTGCTTAAAAAGCCATGGAATTCCTGGACATTATCAGAAAAATGACCACAAAGTGTTCTAAATGGAGATGGGAATCGAGCTCTGGCCTATTTGAATCAAGATGTTTCATAGTTATGGGCTGGGAGTGGGAACATTCAACCCCAAGTGAAAACGCTCCTCTCTGTGGGATTTCTATTAAAGGGAGGTTGTTGGTGGATCCACAGTTCCAGACTGGGACTATGTCTGATGGAAGCTAAGGGAATATCTTAACAGCAGCATAGTAGTTGTTTTTCTTCCCTCACGTTAAGGATGAAATGAGCTTCAGGTGGGAACCTGCCCAGAACGGAGTGGGCAGGGGTGTGAGACTAGTTGATCTCAGGGATGTGCTGTCAAGTTCAAACATCTCTTACCTGAGTTTCCAGTAAAGTTTCTCTTATTTAAAAGGACGTGACTTTAGTATACCTAGTGTGAATTCAGTTCAATTCAATTCACTCCAACTCAATTCTATTCAATTCAATTTAATAGAAGATTCTTGATCTTTTTCATGTTGTGTCCAGCAGGAAGCCTATATTTGTTAGATTAGTTAGGCTGCAAGTGATAGAAAACCGACAATTTCTCTCATGTAAAAGAAATATAGAGATCGAGAGTCCAGGGCTCCTTGGGCAGGCCACAGGAACCTAGGCTGATATCTTCCTACTCTCATGTCCTCAGCATGTGGTTTTCAACTCATGGTTCAGTATGGTTGCCTGAGATCCAGCCATCTTATCTGTATTTTAGTAGAAGGAAGGAAGAAGGGATGAAGACCAATCCTCCCTTTCTTTAAGGATACTTCCAGGAAGTTGCATATGACCCTTCTACTTAAACCCCATTGGCAGAATTCAGTCATATGATCAGACCTATCTACAAGGGAGAATGGAAAATGTTATGATTCCAGGCATCTTGTGGGGAGCTAAAATTTGGAGGTTTCATCACTAAGGAAGAATGGGAGAATGCATATCGGGAGACATCTAATAGGTTCTAACAAAAGACATGCAAGCTATCTTTTCTAAATTTCTTTTAAGCTCTCCCCAGTTGTTTCTAAAGTATTCAGGAAACACATTTTAAAAATAGATGCTACCTATCCTTGGAAAAATGAAGTTCAAAGTTCAAAATCCAAGGACTAGGTGCTGAGAAAAAAGAATGTTTTCTGTGTATATGTAGCTGGTGACTTTTAGAAATACCCAGAGGCTTCAAACAATCATCCATCTCTCCATCCATCTACCCAGTCAACACATTTATTGAGTATCTGCTACATGCCAGACACTGTGCTCATAGCTGAGGAAATGGATATGAATAAGATAGTCCTCGTACTTACGGAACTCATGATCTGGTGGAGGAAAATGGTAGGTAAATTAGTTATTTCAGGTGATAAATGCTATAGTAGAGATAATCATTCATTTATTTTTTCATTCAACAAACACTTATTGAATACCTCTATACACTGAGGTTACAAAAATGAAAAGTCAAGTTTTCTACCAGATAAATTAAAATGCAGGGTGATAAGAGGGTCTAATGGAGGTATGGATAAGGACAATGAGAACATATGGAGGAAAGCTTAAGTCTGCTTGGCAAGTCAGGAAATGTTTCTTAGAGGAGGTAGCTTCTGAGCTGAAACATGAAGGAAGCATAGAACTTTTCCAGTACAACCTTGGGCCTCCTTCTTCCATCATGCACTGAGGGAGTTAAACTCCTTTTTTTTTTTTTAATGCTCTTACGTAATTCAATATGTCATGCGTGGCTGGTATCTGCCAACAATCTATACTGAAGACTTTTGAATAATTCTCTCTGCTACCCAGTTGGGTGCACAAAGATATTTACTTGGTAATATTTCTTGTGCGAGTGGGTAATGGGAGATGTTTACGATTTTTCTTGGTTTTAAGTAGAGTTGTATGGCAATATTTTAATCCCATCTTGGTGCTGGAGGGCCTGACAAATGCATTTCCACCATGGTAAGGGACTGGAAACCCAAAGCGACTGTGTCGCAAATGAAATGAAGAGTCTGACAAAATACATCCTATCAGTGGAATGAAATTAGAGATCTGTCAAAATGCATTTGTCCTCTAAATAACCATCCATATGTTTTCTGTTTCAGTGTAAATAGACATTCATCAATTTATCACAATTGCGCTGCCAGAGACCCAGCAATTTGAAGCAGAATTTTAAAGATCCTTCTTGAACAATAACCTAGGAAGACTTTGGTGGGGAGGTGGTTTTTCTTGTTTCTTTTTTCTTCTCTTTTCTTCTTTTGATTTCTTTCGGCTCCCTTTTGAGCGACAGTTCATTACTAAAGAGAAGGGAAACATCTATTTAAAATCAATCCAATAATACTATGTTCCAAAGCATTAATACCTGCCTGCAATCAGCTCCTTGTTTGTTTCCTCAGCCTTCCCTCTTCAGGTGTGGCCTGTGGGGGGATGCTGGGTTTGCGACCCCTGGGTGCCTGAGGCGTGGGCTTTCTCTGGCCCTGTAGCTCCCTTACTGCTGGGGAGAGTGGACTTGGGTCAGGCCTAAGAGGGAGAATGGGTGGGGAGGCTCACTGAGAGCTCTCCCACCGTCGCTGGGCCAGTCTTTCCTCATTTGTATGGGGAGTGGGCCACAGGCAGCCAATGGGAAATTCTGAGGAGGAGAAGTAGGGGCCTGGCATCTATGAGCCTCAGTGGTGGGCATTTCAGTCTGACTGTTTTTGAGCAGAGAACTGGCTGCTAAAACAATTACTATCTTGTCAAACATTCTGTCCAATGAAGAAAATTAATAGAGTAACTTTGCAGACAAAAGCACATTTTGACCAAAGCCCCAAACTATGCATTTAAATAAACCCTGGAATTAATGCTGTGATTAGCATTAATATTTGCCAAGGGCATAAATTCATTATTTAAAAAACAGTTTAAGAGCCAAGCCAACCAAAGCTGCCCTGGAGGAAGGAAGAAAAATGTGGAATTTAAATCAGGTTTTCATGAGGGTGGTTACAGTCCTGATGCAGTGTGGATGGCCGGCCTCCTCTTGGGAGGTCAGCTCCCTGAGCCTCTGTTACATGGTGCTCTGAGCTCTGCTCCTGAGCCTAGATGGAAGGGTGGGACAAGGGCATGGAAGGGGACAGTAAGGAAAGTCGGGTCCAGAATCTCTAGGAGCTCAGGTTCCAGATTTAAGTTCCAAGATGGAGAAGAAGAGAGACAAATGTGCCAGAGAGGAAATATATGGAAGGAAACATAAATTTGTCTACACAGGACTCTGAATCCTGGCATTAAACTCTTCACTCCATCTCCACTCTCTGTATTTACCTGCCCCCATCTCAGCACACCTCGTCCTGTTAACCAGAGCAAAGCTCTCAGCTGGACAGATCTCAGAGCTTCAAACTCCATCAGCTCGCTGTGAAAAATTCATTCCTGTTCTCAGGGGCCCAAACATACAGAATTCGTTTATGATATTTGTAGCACATCACCATTAGCCTTAATTCACTATGGTATTTTTATTTCTTAGGTATCTGAACTGCCCATAAGACAAATTATTTTGAAGGAAAGGAGTTGGTCTTTTCGTCTTTACAACCCAAGCCCCTGGCACAGTGCCTGCTCAGGATGTTTTGACTCTACTCTTTGGACCCCACAGTAAAGGTACTTTGTTAGGTGTCACACAATGAGTTTTGACACCATCAATCAATTTGAGAGTTGCTGATACCATTGTGTGATGAGCAATTTGTTTTTGGCTTTTTCAGTGGGTTGCAGAGATAGTATAACATCTTTCAAAGTGTTCAGAAGGACATCAAAGAATGAGCTTCAAAATCTAACAGACCAGTCTTGGCCCACAGGGTAAGCCTGGAATATCTTAGGAAGAATGCTTACAGTTTTCTCATGGATTAGCTATAAAACATTTAGCCAAATCATAATGAATATCTGTGGTTGAAATAATCAACACAAAATAAAACTGACAGCAACTAAAATTACATATGCTTTATTGGTAGGGATCCACATGGTACAGTTTAGATATACAAAATTGGATTCAAGAAAACGGGGCTTGTTCAAAATGGTGGTAAAGGAAACTTCCTAATGGTAGAAATAATAACTAATCATTATTTGATATGGATAAACTTTATCAATGATCAATATTTGTTTAAAAAGTTACATGGAAAATAATTCTGATAAAAATTAATTTTGTTAAAAGGAAACAGGTAGGGGAAAATGGAAATGATTTGAGGGTAGCAGTATATAAAACAGAATTTAAATCAACTCAGTGGAGTCCGTAACTGAAAAGACTTGCTCTCTGGAAGGAAGCACATTAATGTTGGTATAATTCTGAGTGAAATGTATAATATGTATTGGTAAACATGGAGAAAAATGTCTCTGGAGTCAGGGGTAAAACTGTAGGTCAAAAGATAGGGTAAAAACAGTGAGGTCCAAAAGTTCTATATTTTTCCTGGCATGCACTCAGAAGAAATGTAAGTAAGCATTTTCTTTACTACAAAAAACATAATTAAAAAAAATTTTTTTCTTTTTGTGTTTATCTCATCCTCTTTTTTTTTTAAAAGGAGACTGAATACATAATAAAAATAGTAAAAAGATATGTAGGCAAAGTCATTCTCCTTCCCACTTCTGACCCCACAGTCCCCAATGTCAGTCTCCCCAAAGACTATTTACTGATTGGTTCCTTGTCTTTCCAGAGAAAATTGATACTAATGCATTTAAAACATTTTTTCTCTATAACCCGGAGTAAGACATATACTTCCCATCATAACCCACTATACAATTATATAACTGTAACAAAGTGGCACAAAACAATTTTTACCTTTACCATATATGATATAGAAAAACATAATAAGGAATATCAAATATGATTTCATCAATATTTAAATAAAACATTAAAAAACCCAAAATGAAACATGCAAGCATGAAAGAACACTCGTTACAAATCACTAAATTGATTTTGTAACCTACAAATGGTTGCCACCCAATTTGTATTTACTGTATGTACAAGTATGTATTGACATAACTGACTTTTTAAAAAAACACAAATTGTAGAATATTATACAGACTGTTCTGCATTTTGCCTTTTGCACTAAACATTTTGGAGATTGTTATATATAATACATATAGGTTTGCCTGTTCTTCTTAATGGCTATATTCATAGTCCATTGTACCAGAATTTACACAATCAGTTTCTCACTGATGCACATTTAGACATTCTATTGCTACTATAGATAGCACTGCAGTGAACAGCCTTGTGTATCCTATCTATCAGTTACATTTTTAGAGGTGGAATTTAAAATTTTGATACATACTGCCAAGTTGCCCTCCTAACAGGTTGTACTGTTTGGAACTCCCAACAATAATTCATTAGAGTGCCTGTTTCTCCAATCAATGCATTATCAAACTATTGCTCTATGCTTATCTAATAGGCAAACAAACAAAATCTCACTGTGATTTCAATTTGCGTTTCTTCTAATATAAGTGACATATATATTTCACATGATTAAAAGCTAGTTATGGGGCTTCCTTGGTGGCGCAGTGGTTGAGAGTCCGCCTGCCGATGCAGGGAACACAGGTTCGTGCCCCGGTCCGGGAAGATCCCACATGCCGCAAAGCGGCTGGGCCCGTGAGCCATGGCCACTGAGCCTGCGCGTCCGGAGCCACTGCTCCGCAACAGGAGAGGCCACAACAGTGAGAGGCCCGCGTACCGGAGGCGAAAAAAAAAAAAAAGCCAGTTGTATTTTTTTTCCCTGTAATGATGTTTTCAAAAAAATTTGTTTCTTTTGGGGTTTTTGGCTTTTTCCGATTGATATCTTTAAAACTCTTTATGTATGTGATGAAAATTAACTCTGTGTCATGTTTTTGCAATACTTTTTTTATTGCTTGCTTTCAACTTGATTTATGATATTTTTGTCATGAAGACATTTTAAATTTTGTATAGCCAGATTTATTCACTTTTTTTTATGTGTTCTGGGTTTAGTGATTTGCTTAAAGAAGTCCTTTACACAAAATTATGTAATTTGCACTTATGGTTTATAATTTGCAAAATTATGTAGTTCTCTTATGGTTTAAGTTTTTACCTTTAGAAATTTTATCCATCTGGAATTAATTTTGGCATGAAGAAATGGATGGCCCAGCCAGTTATCCCAAACCATTTATTGAATAATGTATATTTTTCCTATTGTATTGAAAACCTCTCTCCACATAAACCAAATTTTTGTATATGTTTGGGTTTACTCCTGGTTTTTCTATTTGCTTCCATTCATCTGGCTATTAATTTTTGAGCCAGTGTAAGACTATTTTAATTACAATGACTTTATATTTTAATATCTGATATGGCTAATACGTCCCCCATACTATTCTTTATCATTCACAGTGTGGCTTTTCTCGCATTTTATTTTTGATATGAATTTTAGAGTCCCCCCCTCCCTCTGCCCCTTCCCTAATTGTTTTCTTTTGGTATTGATCATGTTAAATTAATAGATCAAAGCAAGAAGATGGATATCTTTGTAAGGAATCTTTCTATTTAAGAAAAGGGAACACCTTTCTATTTATTTAAGCCTTTTACTTTCCATTAGATGATTATTTAAGTTTACTTCATATGGATCTTACAGATTGCTTCTTAAGTTTTTACTAGAAATTTTTTCCTTTGGATTACAATTCTAAATGGTATCTTTTCTTTCATTAAATCTTCTGGTTGACTGTAGTTTCTAGAAAAGCTATTTTTTTTTTTTTTTTTTTTTGGCGTTATGCAGGCCTCTCACTGTTGTGGCCTCTCCCGTTGCGGAGCACAGGCTCCGGACCCGCAGGCTCAGCGGCCATGGCTCATGGGCCTATCCCCATGTGGGATCTTCCTGGACCAGGGCACGAACCTGTGTCCCCTGCATCGGCAGGCGGACTCTCAACCACTGCACCACCAGGGAAACCCAAGCTATTGATTTTTTAAAAATTAATTTATAAAGTTATTTCAATCTTATTGTTGGGGTACTTTTTTAGTTGATTCTCTTCAGTTTTCCAGACATACAATCACAATATCTGCAAATACTAATAATTTCCCTCCTCTTGTCTAATTTTTACCTTGTTTCTTGTAGTTTCAGAGGGACCTTGTTATGAGATGTTTCTCAAGCCTGACTTAGAGGAGGGTCAGACATCTGCCAGCAGCTTTGACCTCTGAACCTCTAGTTAGAGGTGGCAGAGTGAAGGAGGAATCAGCAAGGTCTCTGGCTCCACATTGCTGGATTCACATTCCAGCTCCACCATTTATGGTCACACACACAGCAATGTGTGTGACCTTGGACACACTTAACCTTACTTAACCTTTCCGTGGCTCAGTTTCTCATCTATAAAATAATAGGATCCACCTCACAGGATGGTTAGGAGGACTAAGTTAGTGCACATAAAAGTACTTAGTACTGTGTGGTCGGCATATAGAAAGCATCAAAAAATAGCTGTTGATATTGTCATTAGAGCTAATAGTCACGGACACTTCTAGCAGGGCTTCCCTCTACAAAAATCTGTAATATAGTCACTGCATCTTTAAATATTTAAGAACCACCTTCAAACTCTTCAGGCTTCTTCCTTCATTAAAACTTGTTCTCTATAAAGAATCTAAGTCTGATAAGTTTATTTAAATAAAAGCATGCATGACTGTGGGGTCTTAAGGTAGTAGCCTCTTTTCTGTAAGGACTGTCTTTTGACTGCAGACAGAACCTGAAGATACGAAGCAGCCCAGAAGGACCACCTCGCATGAGAAGGCAGTTGATGGTCGTTCTTTAATGCAACAGCTGTTAATGATCAGGTGCACTCAGTGACACAAAGATCAATAAGACCATTTCCTGTCACTGAGGGACACACAGTCTAACATGTGAGACAGATGCTCATGCAGCTAACTAGGACTTGTTTTGTAGGTGTCTCAGTTTGTCTAGACAGTTTTGGAGGACCTGCTAAACAAACCCTTAGGAATCTCTTTGTATGAGGCACTGATGAGGTTGGGGGACACTCCCTGAGTCAAGAGTGGAGGTATGACAGCTTCATCCTAGGCGGGAGGTGGGGGATCATTTTAAGTGTCTATCACTCAACAATTAGCTGCTATTAATTGAGTTCTTGTTACGGACCGGACACCTTAGATATGTCCGTATTATCTCCTTTCATCCTCTCCACAGCTCTTAGAGGAATACATTATGGGTCTCATTGTACAGATAAAAACAGAGGTTTGAGGAGATGAAGGACTTGCCTCAGGCTAACCAAGCAGTGAATAGCAGAATTGGGATTTGAACTGCTGTCTGTCTGTCTGCTGCCATCAGCAGTGCTTTATCCTGGTGTCCTCTGATTTAGCTCACATGGGCTTATGTTGGAGCTCCACGTGAGGGGGTGAGGGGGCTGAACTAGTGAGGGAGTAAGAACTGGAAGAATTCATTGGCTAAAATCTCTGGGACATGGGTGCTTAACTCAACCATGTTGAGTTAGGTTGCCCAGCAGGGTTATGTAGATTGTTTACTGCACAAGGTTGTTTACTGTTTACTCAGCTGGGGGGTGAGAGGGGCTGAAATCCAGACTGAGCTCCACTTCCCAGAGGCAGCTTGGTGAGGGCTGCACATGTCAGAGGAAGGAGTGCCTTTTTCCAGTTCCTGTGATGGCGACTATAGGCTAAC